TATTATTGTTATTATTGATTATTATTGTTATTGTTGTTGTTATTGTTGTTGTTATTGTTATTGTTATTATTATTATTATTATTATTATTATTATTATTATTATTATTATTATTATTATTATTATTATTATTGTTATTATTATTGTTATTATTATAAAGAGAGTCGGGTGGCCTTGGTAGCTCGAGTTAGAGTAAAATTTTTCTTTTTCAAGCCAGTAAGTGGGCTCGATTAGCCCGAACTTGCCAAAAAGTCCAAGAACAGCCCGTCTATAAGTCGATTATTGGGATTATTAGCATTGCCGAGGATTGCCGGGGAGCACTGGATCGACTTATAACCCGAGCTAGGATAATTAATTGGCTCGACGCCTAATTAATAAATGCATTTTAATCGGAATAAGTTGAGACGCCGCAGGAACAATGATATTGGCAATTATTCTCCCAATGAAAATCGTGCTTCGTCCGAGTTGGCTAAGTCACTCCGCTAAAGTCCTCTTAAGCGCGCCTCCTCTCTCACCTCCTTTCCAAATCAACGACGCACGGCTTTAATAATTAACGCCGTTAAAATTTGTCTAGCTAATTACGAGCGAGTCACCGCTGCATTGTTCAACTAGCTCGTCCACGTTTGCTGATCGTACGGCCGCTTGCCGATCCACATCGTGCAGCTGTCAATCATTGGCAACAATTAGTTTATTAAGACTTAGCATTAAGCTTGGTTAAGCGTGATAAGGCCATGGGGGCGTATGAAACGACTTGTGCATGTAAAACGGCCCTTGGAAGCTCGTTGGCCTCGTCGACGGTTTCAGACCCCCCCTCCCCCTTCCCCCTACCCATCCAACGACATACGAACCCGAATAAATTCACTTTCAATACTCACTTAACGCTCTTCAAGATAAACTCTGTGCCACCCCAGACTTTGATGTTGGTATAGGTCGACCTAATGGAAACGGGGCCGGCCGCTTGGCTGAGCTCGATCTCGGGGACGTTGAGTGGCTCGCAGGGCGGTATGTGAAGTGCCGATATCCCGGTCTTGAGATAAGGCCGGAGAGAATCGACGCTGCGCTTGATGCACTCGTTCAAGTGCGGATCGCTACGATGGCATATCTTGAGGAAGGAAGCTGCCGCACGGAAATGAAGTTTCTTACGTTAACGTTTGTGCGTTTGTGGGAGGTTTGGTGCGGCATCGTGGCCGTGGCCTCGGCCTCTCACCCGTCTATCCCTCACCCTACCCATCCCGTTCACGTCCCCGTAATCTTCCCCGTAATCGTCCCCGTAATCGTCCCCGTAATCGTCCCCGTAATCGTCCCCGTAATCGTCCCCGTAATCGTCCCCGTAATCGTCCCCGTAATCGTCCCCGTAATCGTCCCCGTAATCGTCCCCGTAATCGTCCCCGTAATCGTCCCCGTAATCGTCCCCGTAATCGTCCCCGTAATCGTCCCCGTAATCGTCCCCGTAATCGTCCCCGTAATCGTCCCCGTAATCGTCCCCGTAATCGTCCCCGTAATCGTCCCCGTAATCGTCCCCGTAATCGTCCCCGTAATCGTCCCCGTAATCGTCCCCGTAATCGTCCCCGTAATCGTCCCCGTAATCGTCCCCGTAATCGTCCCCGTAATCGTCCCCGTAATCGTCCCCGTCCACGTCCCCGTAATCGTCTCCGTAATCGTCACCGTAATCGTCACCGTAATCGTGACCGTATTCGTCACCGTAATCGTCACCGGAATCGTCACCGTAATCGTCACCGTCGCCGTTACTCTCCCCTGGCGGGTGAGCGGGTGAAGCCGGGGAGGCCTCGGCCTTGGGAATTTTACTCACGTATGTCGAGCGTGGATTTCACGCCACGTCCGAAAAACGCGGCGAAAGTGACAAGGGTGACGACTAGGTGGCTGGACATGGTGAGGCTCGAGAAGTCGCTTGCGGATTAAATCGATCGTGGCGAATGTCCGGACGTCGTGCAGCGCCGGTGGCACTCGGTGCATCGTCAGCTCGGCCGTCGCCCGCTGACACTTTTCTTTTTATTCGAGCGGCTTGTTGTTGCCGCTTTGCGCAATAATCAAACAAAACACGTGCGATTTGCCGACCAATCTAAACAATCGTACCTGTTTTCCATTAATTACACGATGTTTACGCGGCTGCGTCGGTGGAACTCGGGCGCCCGGTCGGAAGTCCCAGTCGGGCCCGCCGTCTTGCGAAACCGCGGCACTTTATGCGGCAATGGGTCGCGATTTTTATGGATTTGCGCGGCGCAAAGTCATAATAACCTACGGCGCGGGGCATTTGATCTACTTTTGACTCTTAAGCGAGGCTCGGCTTTGACGAACGAATAATAAAAGGAGAGAACGAGGAATTACGAGTCCGCGTGCTCTTAACACCTTGAAATTCATTCCATTCTTATATCGGAGCTTACATCGATCGGCCGTCATCAACGACCGTCATCGATCGACCCACTTACACACCTCTCTTCACGACTATTTCCATTACAATGATTTCATTTTATTCGCTCGCACGCGCACGCGCACATCCAACCATCAGTCATTCCAATATCCATGATCACTTTCTCCACCATCCTTCGGGCACCGTCACCGTCCTCAGAAGCCCCTATAATACGAACGATAAGCCCGGCGCTCGCGAGAAGGTCTCTAAGGTAAGGGTGCGCCGAGGACGACGCGCGGATCGATGATAAAGCCTCCATCCAACGGTCCCCGATATACCGAAGAAAACACGGAAACCCATGCGCATTAGAGCCCATCGCTGTAACGTTCCACCCCCCCTCTCTCTCTCTCTCTCTTCCTCTCCACCCCCCACCCCCTTCTTCATTCTCCCCCAACCCCTTCACCGATCCCCTACCGTCCCGCG